TTGCTAGGGACTTGCCCGGCACTTGCTCTCTACCTCTATTTGTTATCTTACTTCTATCATTGACAGTCCCTCTAGGTTGTGGGCTGCTTGCCTGTGTTCCTGAGAAGCATCTACGGTACCAGTCTATAGAGTGTGTTTTCTTTAGTGAATTACCGGTATGTTTACCGGTAATAAACTTGCACTGTTTTATGTATATGTTTGATTACATACAGCCTTGTGACAGTTTTCCTGCATGTCATAAGCATTTGAATATAAATTAAAATGTTAAAATCAAATCTGATATTGTTTTACCTTTTATTTGGTGTGTGGAAGGTGTGCGGAAGAGGGGGTAGTCTTAAACGGCGAGTATATAACAAACTCTGCATTTTGAGTGGAAATGTTAGGGGGTCGTCTTATACGCCCAGTCGTCTTATACGCCGGCAAATACGGTAGATACAAAGAGTGAACAGATGGAGAATTTTAGCAGAGAAAGTGAAAGTATTTTTTTAAAAGGAAATTCTAGAACTGAAAAGTATAATATCTGAAGTGAAATATTCACCAGAGAGCTTAACAGCATGTTGGCTATTTTAGAAGAAAGAAGCAGCGAATTGAATTCTGATCAACTGAAATCATCTAATCTAAAGAAGAGATATTTTTAAAACAAAAACATTTTTCATGTCTTCCCATTATTCAGAAAACCCCTATTTCCTACCTGTGTACTTAATGAAAACCAAATCTTGATATTCAAGCATTTACAAGGTCCCAAACGCCCTTCCAACCTAATCTCATCATAATTGTTAGGGAAAAAGTTTCATGGTAAAATTGATCACAGGTCACATACTAGTTTTGAGGCTGGTTTCAGAGGAGTGATGGCAGCAGGAGGGTGATGCCCATGTAGAGTCACTGGACACCAGGCAGTGTCACTTGGAACTGGTGGGCTGCAGGCCCCTGCTGATGTAGCTATTTGTGAGGATGGTTTGGCTGGGCTCACAGTAGCCATGCTCTCTCCTTAGCTGAAAGGCAAAATCATCAGACATTTCGTGTGTATGAATATCAATGGCATTGCTTTTTTTCTTTGGAATAATTATTTTATTGTGTATATTTTTCAAAATAGCCTATGCTCATAGGAAAAAATTGAACAATATAGAAAAATATGAAGAAGAAAACAAGAAAAAAAGTCTAATTCTCCCATTTGGAAACTGACATTAACTGGACATTCCAAGTGTGTGCATGTGAGTACGTGTGTGTATGTGTATGTGTGAAGTCCTTGGTATATCTCCAATAAAGAGTTTTGTTACTTCTTACATTGATGAAAATAAATAAATACATAGCACATGAAAGAAATGTAGTAGAAAGCTCTACTTTAAAAATAGTATCTTTGGGGAATAATTCCCTCCAAGACAATTGTATTTTTTAAGTATTTTTGAGATAATAATTGTCATATAACATTATATTAATTTAAGATGTACAATATAATAATTTGATATTTGTATATGTTGCAAAATGATCCCACAATAAGTCTAGTTAACATCCAGCACCACATAGAATTGCTTTTTGTGACTCTCTCCCTTCTGGGCGCATGTCCAAACCACACCTTTCCATTCCTCCATTTCTTCCCCAATAGGCATGCATCTCCTAAACTCTAAGGGACCCCCATGAGGCTTGCAACCAGGGAACAATAGGCAGCAGCAGCTCGTCCTGGGCTAATCCCCTGACCTCTTTTTCTCCAACTTTTCAGTGAGCCAAAGCAGCCCAGCCTAGGATCATTTCTCCATCTAGTCCCTCTCCTGTTGCTTCTACTATCCTAGGCCCTTCCTTGTTTCACTGTCTCCGACTTTAATGAAAGTCTCAAAATCACCTGGACTTGTCTTGTGTGGGCGTGAGAATGACACCAGATATTAGACTGGTGGGGTCAGACCAGACCTGGGTTCAGCAACTTCAATTACTTGAGTCCTGGCTAGGAAAGAATTCAGAGCCAAGACCCAAACTATAAGGAAACATAAATTTATAAAATTAGAGGAAGAAGTAATTTGTAGAAGAAATGGGCTGAGGAAACAAGATTTAAAGGTAAAGGAAGGGCCCTTGGAGTTTGGGAAGAAGGTAATGGTAACCCACCAGCAAGGAGGGGGAAGGGGCAAGGGAGCAAAGGCAAATGGCAAAGGCAAAGGTGAGGGTGCACTCTGGGTCCTCCATCCTAAGGGCTTTAAGGGTGGAGATTTTAGAGGTGATCCCAGGGAAGATCTTTTTTTTTTACATTGATGTGAGAGCTTAACATCTTTTGACTTCCTTCTGTACACCCCCTACCTGGGATCGAGCCCACAACCCAGGCATATAGGAATCAACTGGCAACTGGCAACCTTTCTGTGCACAGTACAGAGCTCAGCCAACCGAGCCAGTGCTGGCCAGGGCGAAGCAGGGGTTTTA